AGAAGGTGAAGAAGAAAAGTCCAAAAATTCAGAAACTAAACGAAACACTGTTACTAAATTTTTATTTGATAAATGCGACAAAATGGAAATAAAAATTTTTTACTCAAAGCGACTACTATTGAAGCCATACAAAAAAAATTTGCAATAAAAAGCTTGAATAGAATAATATAATTAGAAAGTCTATTTTGATTATGGTTGAAATGATGCATACAATTTTTGGCCTGAATGGAGGTTTAATTTTTCGGGCCTCCAGTGCTTCCCAATCCATATCTCTGAAGAATGGATGAGCTCTGATTGCATCTTCACCACCCTGTGACTGTACACATCCCAGTCGTTTGCCAGCATTTTTTGTCATAAACTGCAAATCAATCACTCTCACCATGAAATAATCAAGAATTATTTAGCAAAGAGAGGAAAAAAGAGAGAGAAGAAGAAAGAAAGAAAGAGAGAAGAGAACGAAAAAACAAAAGAAACTGCTATATTCATATGAATTTTTACTGGAATAAGTAGTGCCAATAAACATACCGCCTTCAGAATACTAACAGCTTCCTTTGACAACCAAACGGGATAAAGTACGTCGTCGTGAAGTATAGCCTCAAATAAATCCTCTTCATTATCGGCTTCAAACGGCGGTTGACCGGCCATCATTTCGTACATTAAAACACCCAACGCCCACCAATCTACTGATACACCATAACGCAACTCTTGAAGTACCTGAAAAAAAAAAACCTGGTATTAATAATTCACATAATGCCTAACGTGTATAAAAATCTACGCATAAAACAAAAAATTTTTATTTGTAGAACAAGAATATATATATATTTTCTTTTACAAATTTTCTACCTTTAAACAATGAGAAAAAAGACATCTTGACAATAAGTACCTCTGGTGCAATATAGTCAGGAGTGCCACAAAATGTTGAAGTCATATTATCACCGGAAATACCCTCTTTGCACATACCAAAATCTGCCAGACGACAGTGTCCTTCGGCATCCAAAAGAATGTTATCTAATTTGAGATCACTGAAATTATTTTCAGTCAAAAAAAATAACCAACTATATAAAGTATATTAAATGCTACATAAGTAAACAAATAGTTGACTTAAAAATTTTTGCTTTTGAAATTTTCCTTTTACTTCACTTTTATCATTGTTAAACAACCGTCTCATTTCGTTTGATTATGGTTGTTTTCATTTTCAATACACCATTTATAAATTCAAAAAATTTTTCTTTGTTTTTTTGCGCCAAAATCGCTTAAGTCATTAAAAGTTTTATTTACAATAATTATGTTAAAGTATCTTCAACGTGCTATATATCTAAGACTTTCAGTCTTAGCCTTACCCTTTAAGCCCTTAATATAGCGAAGTTTAAAAACATTATAAAACAGATCTTTACCCAAAGTGGTTCAGCAATGAATGTGACATTTTGAAGTTTATTAGTCAAACACTTGTTTGAGAATCTTTTTAAAAAAAATAAACGTCAAGTTCCTTTTTTCCTATTTTTTTTTCTGCTTCAACACTATACTATTTCAACTATGTTCCTAATATTTCAGGCTGCAGTTCAACTTCTTAATACAACAAAATAACTTTAAAAATTGTATCCAAAAACAAAGACAGACAAAGCTGATACATTATATAGTATAAAACACTAAGAAAAAAACAGCAATAAAGTACTAAAAACTCACCGATAAATAACTTCATGTCTATGCAGAAATTGTAATGCACAAATTACTTCAGCAGAATAAAATCTAGCTCTTGGTTCATCAAATTTACGAGCCCGTTGTATTTGAAACATCAGATCACCACCGTTTACATATTCCATAACAAAAAATAATCGATCCTGGAAATATTTACACTTTATTCTCCTCAATATTTCAGATTTCTTCTTTTTGCTCTCTCCTTTTTTTGCACGCTCGAAAACTTTTCAAAATTTAAGAAAAATATTGGTTTCAATTAATAATTTTTCCACTTTTTTTCCCCTTCCTCACTTTCGTGTACGTTAATCAGATAACTGCCAACTAGTCTGTTTAGGCAGTGTTACTTAGGCATTTGATAACTGCAGATATGCTGAACGATTAAGTGTGGTTGAAAAAACAGTATAAAACTAACCTCTGTTTGAAAGCAGGAATGTAAAGCAGTCAAAAATGGATGTTTAGCTGCTAATGCCAAAATTCTTTTTTCACACATTGTACATTCAACGTCATCATCTTGCAAAATGACCTCTTTTTTCAATATTTTAACTGCATAAACTTCTTCAGTTCCTTTCTTTTCAGCCAACATAACCTGTAAAAAAAAAAGCAGAAATTTAATGAAAACCTTTCATATTTAATGATTAAATTTCGAATACTTAAAATATGGTTGGAATATGTAATAATACTGTTTATAATTACCTTTCCAAATGAGCCTTTACCGAGCACTTTTATAAATGAAAAATCCGATAAGGACACTTTGGGTAAACTGGCTGGTAGGGATACTAATGATGAAGAGGTAGCTACTCCTTCATCTTGTTCTTTTTTTGAAGAACTAGCAGTTTTTGCCTTTTCTAAACAATCAAACAAAAATTGAAATTTATGGTCTTATAAATTAGTTGCTGAGACAGCCGTAAAATATCAAATAAATACAACAAAAATTTTAAAAAAATGTTAAGTAATTAGGGGTTACAGAAGAACAACAGTAACCTATAGAAAGTGACGACGAATCCGATAAAGATGCTAGTGAAGTTTCACAAGAATCTCCAGACATTATAGATGCCTAAAAATGATAACCGAGGATGATAATTGAGAAGAATTCACACTAATAGCAGAACAATACATAACAAAACTCTTGCATACTTTTTTCTTAGAACGTATGGAGATTTTATCACCGGATAAACCAAGTTGAGCCAATTCAGCGGCCATTTGTTTGCTATTGATTCCACAGTTATTTGCCACATTACGTTGACAACTGAAAAAAAATTTGCTAAATACACCACCTACGATACTGCATTGTTAAGTGCTGAAACTAACTAAGTAGAAAAAAAAAAGCTTTTTTCTTCACTTACCGTTTATGAACATTCAGCTTGCATACAGAACACTGCAGACCCTGATTGATTAAACCATAAAGCATAGAACCACAGTGATCGCAAAATGTTGGAAATTTATAACTATGAACAGCAAACCGATGAGGCATATCAATGTTAAACCGTATTGGTATGTCCTTAAAAAGATTAAAAATTTATTTAATGTTATAAGAGTTTAAACAAAGAGCTCGCAAAAAAAAACAAGTTTCTTTAACCATATTTTAACTATAAGCTTTTAGAAAGACAAAAATTGTTGAAGTAAGCAAAAGCAATTTGTTCAATAACTAACCTCAATAGCCTCTAACTGTTGTTCTTTGAATATATCCGTTCTGATTCCCGGACACTTCCAAACAACTTGTAAGTGACAGCGTTTATGTACCACAACAGTACAAACTAAAATTTCATTAAAAATCATAAAAATCTCGATACAGATATACCACCAAATTTCCCTATTTTTTCCATCTATTAAACATACAAAAGAAAAAAAAAATACAAATTTATTACTGCATAAACAACAGTGATAATAATAGTAATAATATTAACAGAAGACAAAAAATTAATACTGACTATAAAACAGTCTCAGTAGCTTAAAAGCGTTGTAGTTATATGTTTACAAAAAAAAAATTCTTTTTTACAAAATTTCACACCTTATCGACCTATGGTCTGACAAAAAAAAAGAAAAAAAAAGTGTAAATAATTTTAATAATACATTGTCATTCTGTTAGATATTACTCGTTTTAATTTCCGTTAAACAATAACTAATCAACAACGCCACAAAAAAATTTTTTTTGCAAAATATAAGAAAAAAAAAACAGACAAATTTTCTACTTTTAATTAAACTTCAATATTTTGTTGGTATAAGCGATTAGATTAAAAATGAGAAATGTTTGCTAAAAAATATAATAGAACTAGCAGAAATTCCATTAAATGTGAGATAATAAGAGCTGTGCTTATGTGCAATAAATTGGAAAAGAAAGTTATTTTTTTTTTTTTGCCAAAAACATTATCAGATTTTTGCAACAACGTCATTAAACTTCCGGAGAAAGTAGTATTGATGAGAAAAAAGAAATGTAAAAACTAAAGTTGCAAAAAAAGATTTCTACCACATCTCATAAATTTTTTATCAAACTGAAGTAAATTTTTGACTTACCCTGACACTGGTATCCCTGTTTACCAAGAACACCCCATATAAACTCTTTACAATGGGCACAAAATGTTGGCTGACGTAAGTATAAAGCCATGAACTTATGTCCAGTGACCTTGAAAGTATTATTGAAATTCTGTTCCTCATTATATAAAAAATATATCAAAATAACTTTTTAAAGATGTTTCACTACATTTTTGCTGAAAAAGTTTGTAAGAAACTTTTTAGATTTGCTACCTAAAACAATTTAACAACGAAGATGACGATCTCAGTTGGCTAAGCCAAACAACAGATGGTTTCTTTCACAGTGACCCACTGTTTAAGCATTGTATAATATCCAAAAGTAACACATACTTCATGAATTTTTCGGCGCATAGCGCCACGTCTTTGCCTACCATTGAAAGCATTAATTCGTTCCTTGAACACTCGCTCTTTGCCTTCACCAGCCGGTGGCTCTAAAAAAATTTTGCTAAGATTAAGACCGAGCAACATTTAACACAGTTTTTTTTCTTTTGCATCAAGGAAACAAACGGTCGAAGTACCTCTGTACCAAAAAAAATTTGGTTGCTTAGCATAAACATATTTGAATGTACAACATTCTCGATAAATATATAAATATATATTGAAGAAAGTAATCAGTTTAGAAAGATCATTGCTTTAAATTTTTTGAAATAAAAAATCAATTATCGTCTAAACAAAAAAAAAAAAAAAAA